CTGTCATTATCTCATGCTTCGGAAAAAATAATACATATTATAAAAACCATTTTGGATTGCATACAGATCCCTGACTAGAACCAATTAAGATGTACATACATGAAAAGATTTTTATTCAAAGATCATTCACAAGGCAGTAATGTATCTCTTCGACCATGAGACGGGGAAAGCTTGAGTCTGCTTTGCTCCATGTGTAGCAAACTGCATGTACAGAAATGAAAGTCTGAGCACAAGACTGAGTGAGGAGAACCCCCAGGTCACTGCACACTTGTGCTCCTGGAGTGAAACAACATGGAGAAGAGCTGCTGGTCAACCACAAACAGGGTCCCCATCATTACTGGCACAAATATCAATGGATGAAAATTCTAATATTTTCAATAATGATCCTGTGGCTTTAGCTAACTCTGAATAGGTAGAAACATAAGGCACAGAAAAAAGCAAGTTCAAATATTGGCTCACCTGCTCATTGATACAACATAAGACTTCATGGCATTTCTCACCATAGAATAAAAAATTGACTTTGCTTACACAGCACTTCAGGTTAGAAAGCTACTTAGACGGACCCATGACTCCACCTTCCCTGGGCCCTGCTTGCCGCCACGCGAGAGGGTAAAGCTCTTCCACACAAGTAAGTGTCCATGTCTTTATAAAAGTCACAAGTAACTAACAAAATATGTGTCAAAAGTCTCAGTTTTGGTGGGTTCTCAAATAAATCTGTAATTGAAAATAGTCTATTAAATTTTGATTATTGTAGAGATACATGATCTTTCAAACAGTCCCTCATTTTTTTAAAAATTATGTCACATGCAGTGAGAAGAATGAGTGAACTATTAAAGTCACATTGAACACGAATAGCTTACACCTCCCTGTTTACTGCAAGGCCCCAACATGAGCAATCAGCCAGCTGCTCCTGTGAGTGGAGACCCAGAGCTCTCGTTCCATCCCAGCAGTGGCAGCAGGGCTCTGTGCCTCATACGTGAAAGGAAGTTTAGTGAAAGGAGCAGATCGCTCCAGGCGCAGCTGTTAGAGGCAATCAGAAACCAGAGAGAGAAAAAGCACAATTTATTCTTGCCAACTTCTCACAAGTCCTCCCCAGGACTCTTCTCCACAGACCTTCAGGGCAACTGTGTTTACTTGCATAACAAATCACCCCCAACCTCAGCAACTTGAAACAGCCACCATATTCTTACCTCATGACACCTCGGCTCCAGCTCACACCTGGGGGCTTGGCTGCACTGGAACAGCTCAAACTGCTCACTTATGTCTGGAGTCTCAGTGGGAGCGCCTGGAAGCCGGGGCTCAGCTGGAGCAGACAGGGCCGGGCTCAGCTCCCACTCCAGGCGTCCTCAGAATGACCGTGGCCCCCGCACGGGTCTCTCTTCATGGTTTCTCTGGGAAACTGCGCATCTTATCTGGTGCCTTTTTGTCAAATTACATTGATTTTTCTGTCCCTGGTATGTGGAAAGGAAACATAGTGAAACAGTAAAGATGAACTCTAAATTGGATAATTCACAAACCTTGATACCCTGTATGACAGCAGAGAAATAGGTGCTTTTTATCTTCTATTTTGAGATCATAGTTTGTCTAACCATAAAGCAGGAGTCTTTCCCACATTTATTAAAATGTCTGTGACCTAATACGCTCCACTAGCACATGCAGAGACGCACACTACGTGCGTCTGATGAAGCTGGACACAACAAAGGAGACGTACTATTTCCTCCTGATGCCCTAGTTTTAAACCACAGAGTCCATTTTTAAAAGGCGAATCATTCCTCCATGAACAATATCAGTATGAGTAGACTCTTTCTTTTCAAGCCTTGACAAACTTACATCCACTTGAATTAGAAAGCATTCTGTAAGGAATTGGTTAGAAAATCAGCAATTTCTGATCTAGTCACAGGGGGGCAGCATCTGCAAACACAGACACCCATCCCCTTCTGAAAATAGGTGAGTGAAACATGGTAGGTCTGATTGGCTCTCAACCTGCAGTCCCTCCTTTCCCCTTTCTTTCCAAAAGGCAGGGGCAGGGTTTGGAAGAAGCTTGTACAAGGGAAACCCATCAGGAGTGGTCAGATTCAGCAACTGTTTCTGAAGAGGAAGAAGGGGAAAGATGTTTCTCATAACAACAGTTCTGATCTTATGGATGCAAATATCACGTGAGTTTGGGATCCCCCTGCTTGTTCCCAGAGATTTCAGCAGAGTGGGTTATTATCTGCAGGCAACTGCAGGGATGAGATTTTTTGATTGAGAGCAAAGATGTTGGGAAAAACACAAGAATTAAAAGGAAGAAAGAGGTAGTTGGGGAGGGAGACATGGAAAGAAGGAGAAAGTACACAGAAGAATGAGAAAGACCATTGTAGCTGAGGGAATAGACATCTAATCAGACCCTGATTTCTCCCACTCTTTTTCTGAACAGAAGTGAATGGACAACAGTTAAAGCAATTTCCTGAATTCATCTTCCTACAAGAGGGAGAGAACTTCACCACATACTGCAATACCTCAAGCATTTTAAGTAGCTTACAGTGGTACAAGCAGCAGCCTGGGGGACGTCCAGTCTTCTTGATGTTATTAACTAAGGGTGGAGACGTGAAGAGGCAGGGGAGACTGACAGCTTGGTTTGGAGAGACCAAAAAGGACACCTTCCTG